AAAAAAAAAAAAAAAAAAAAAAAAAAAAAAAAAAAAAAAATATGGTAACTGTGAGGATAACAACATCAACAACAGTTAACACTGATATAGAGCTTACCGCGTGCCAAGTACTAAGTGTCATAAGTATTGTACAGATGTTAATACATTTAATCCTAATAACCTTGTGAAGTAGGTATTATTATCTTTATTTTTCTAATGAGGAAACTGAGGCACAAAAAAGTGACTACTTGCCAAAGGTCACAAAGCTAAGAAGTTACAGACTCATGGTGTGATCCCAGAAGTTTGGCTCCAAAGACTTTGCTCTTACCTACTGTAACAGCTTACTATTTTTGAGGTCCAGCTAAAGTTTAAGAAAAGCCCCCTAAATATTTTTAGTGACAGAAATAAATGGCATCAGAAAAGGCTCCTGACTAACACAATGACTAACACACACTCTTCCCTATCTCTCTTCCCCCTTTCTCCCCCTACTCCCCACACACACTATTCAGGATAGCATCACACTGATGATACACCTCAGGAAATGGAAAAATTAAAAGTAAAATGGACACTTCATCAAAGAACATATATGAATGGCAAGTAAGCCATGAAAAGTTGCTCAACATGATCAGCCATTAAGGCAGTGTAAATTAACACTATGATAAGATACCACTGCAAAGCTATCAGAATGACTAAAATTTAAAAAAAAAAAATCACAATACCAATTGCTGCCAAGAATAAGGAACAACTAAAATTCTCATACATTGTTGGTGGGAATGCAAAATTGTATGGCTACTTTGGAAAACAGTTTGGCAGTTTCTTATAAAGTTAAGCACACACTTACCATATGACCAAACGATCCTACTCTTAGTTACTTATCCAAAAGAAATGAAAACATATGCTCACATAAAAACTTAATATGCAAATGTTTATAGCAGCTTTAGGCAGAACTGCCCCAAACTGGAAATAACCCAGATGTCCTTCAATGGGTGACTGATGAAACAAACTGGTACGTCCATACCATAGAATAGTACTCCATAATAAAAGGAAAGAACTATTATACACACAACATGGATGAGTGTCAAAGGCATTATGCTGAGTGAAAGAAGCTAGCCTGAAAAGGCAAAACCACAGAGACAGAAAACAGGTCAGTGGTTACTAGTTGGGGGGAAGGGCTGATTATAAAGGTGCAGCAAGATGGAATTTTGGGGCGTGATGGATCTGTTCTGTGTCCTGATTTAGATGGAGGTTACACAACTGTATGCATTTATCAAAATTCATACACTAGGGCCGGCCCGGTGGCGCACTGGAGAGTGCGCCTGGGAGCGCGGCGGCGCTCCCGCCGAGGGTTCGGATCCCATGTGGAGACCAGTTCCCGCTCACTGGCTGAGCGCAGTGCGGGCGCAACACCGAGGGTTGCGATCCCGTTACCGGTCAGTAAAAAACACAAAAAGGAAAAAAAAAAATTCATACACTAAAAAGTCTGAATTTTTACTGCATGTAAATTATATGTCAATAAAGCCAACCAAAGAAAAAGTAAAATGGCAGCAAGACAATTAAAGGGAGATAAACTGTAGCAAGCTTTTCCTCTGTTCTTCTAAATGTCCACAGTAGTTCTTTCCACTTCTACGAATGTATCGTCCCTAAGTGATAAATCTGGAGGATGGAGAGTAACCTGCATTCAGTTTTGGTCTAAATCATGTGAAACAAACTATTGCTTTATAATAAATCACTGGTCATTGATACTATAGCCTGGCTATTTGATGATGCTAAATAAGATCAGAAAAGAATAAATTATAACCATTCTTATTTTATTTTGTATGTGGCTGAACATGAGTTCTGCATCTGTTCACAGGTTTGGTTATTATGCATGTATTCTGCACTATCATTTCACATGTAGATCAGGCAGCTCACTGAGAACTGAAACGATAGCCCTTTGTTGTGTACAAAATCTAGTTCCACATAGCTGGTGTTTTGAAATTCAGAAAAAAGTGAAACCCACATCAATGACAGACTCATTAGCCTACCTAACGAGTTAACCCTAACAAGATATGTCAGTCCACATAGGGTAACTTTTCAAGATAATATCTTTAAGAAGAACAGCTTGAAACCTTAAAAATTCACTCCCCATACCTTCAACCAACAATCTTGAATGAAATTTTTCAAACATTTTATTTTCTTAGCCAAAGTATCTACTTGGTGTATACAGAAATTCCCACAAGCTACAAAATATATTTAGGATGAGTTCATATTTCAAATTCTTGCAAATTTTAACCAATTCAAAGACGTCAAAGAAACTAACTGGAAAACACCTAGAAAGAGTTAAAAAGGAATAAGAAAGGCTCTTACTATGCACTGAAAGGTACAGGCAATCAATAAATGGAATATGTCTTCTATCAATTAAGAATGAAAAAAATACAGCTAGTTCAGTTAGCGCATATTTAAAAGGCTGGATTATGCAAGTTAATATTCAATTGAAACCAAACAAGTTTATCTGACACCAAGACATCTCCAAATCTTCATAGCAATTGCTCTCAAATTTCTTCTTCTTACAGAGATGCCTCATTCCAATCAGACTAGGCCTCACTATAAGAGAGATCCTAGGGTGAGGGATGAGAACATACCTTGTATTCTCCAACCAAGACATAATTTTCTTCTCTCCCCCATCCCTATCACTGAGTTAAGAATCACTATATGAAAGTAAAATATTCAATAAAATTCATTTGCATATTAAATTAAACAATAAATCATTCAATCACTGATATCAATCACCACAAATTACCCCTTTGCATACTTACAATGTAGTATTGTGGAAGGCGGGTAAGTTTAATAAATAGCTTATTTTTAGAAAGGTTTCCAATCGGATGAGTTGAATAATTGGAAAGCTGCAATGTGTCACTGCTTATTGTAGGCAGATGTTTTATAGACTGTTTGCAACGCTGTTGTCCAAGCCAAAACCTTAATTTAAAAGAGATAATCCACATCATAAAATCATACTTTTTGATTAACTGTGTGCTATTGATTTATAAAGAGATTGAAGACCACTAAAAAACCAGTTAAGTCAAATATAACTGAACTGATAAAAGGACAAATGACCACAACGACGAATCACTTCTCCACAGTTTTTATATTAGACTGTTAGTTCTAGTTTTAAAAGTTTAACCTGCAATGTGAATGATTTTGACTGACTATAAGGTAGAATTAACTATAAAGCCAAGACACTATATTAGTTTATTACAGGGAATGACAGATTTCCTGTGGTTTAAAGACAGCACAAATAAATCTCAACGCCCTTTATAAAATGCCTAAAGTGTTCAGAAAACAAAATGAAACAACAAATAATAAGTACCTCATTTTTCTGGTATTACTGGAGATATACAGACCTAGATTTTTATTTATTTTTTATTGAAACATATTGATCAAACATATTTGTGGGTACAGAGTTGAATATCAATACGTGTATGCAATGTGTGATGATCAAATCAGAGTAATTAGTTTAAAAACTTAAATCATTTCTTTGTGATGAGGACATTCAATCTCCTCTCTTCTAGCCATTTGATAACATGCAGTAAATTGTTAATTATAGACGGTTAGCTCGACCATACATCAGTATAAATTTTTCCTATCTAGTTTTGTGTCCATTAACCTCTCACTATCCCCCCTCCCTTCTCCCCTTCCCCACCTCTAGTAACCACAATTCTGCTCTCTCCTTCTGAAAGTTGAACTTACTATTATTATTCGTTTTTCTTTCTGTCTTTTTAGCTCTCACCTGTGAGTGAGAACACGTGCTATTTCTCTTTCTGCAACTGGTCTATTTCTTTTTTTTTTTAATGTTTTTTTTTTTCCTTTAAATTTTTATTTTGTCAATATACAATGTGGTTGATTATTATGGCCCATCACCGATACCT